AGCTTCAGTCTCCGCTGAATCACCTAGAGGGCTGGTTAGAGCAAAGCTTCCTGGGCGCTAGCCCAGAGTGGGCTGAGGTTCAGAAACTTGCATCTCTCATGGGCTCAGGAGATGCTGATGCTGACAGTCCCTGGACCACACTTTGTGCTTCACTGACACAAGGCCATGTGTCTCGAACTCAAAAGTACATGCAAATCACCAGTGATGCCTTACAAATGCGGATTCTGACTCAGGTCTGACGCTCTTGTCCACAGACACTCTCTAGGTAGCAAGGGTAAAGCATACTCCATCAGGGGGAAGAGAGAAACTGAACTGACTGGTACCTTTGCTCAAGCATTTATATGCCTGAGCAGCAGTGTGACAGGTAAAAGATAAAAACATTATGCATCAACCCCCTGCCCTTTTTTTGGATGGAGACACTAAGGAAGCAATAAATTAAATGACACCCCCAAACCAATGATGAGTAGGGAGTTGAGGGGATGTTTCCTGCGCTTAAGGAGTGAGCAGTCTATAGACTCCTATAGACATGTAAGGATCAAGGGCATCCACTTCAATGGCCTGTTTCTATAGCTGCGTGTCCGAAGGCCAGAAGATCTGACTCGGGAGAAATGAGGAATGTCTCTTAAGAGATTTCCTCATTTTGAATCAGCACACTTTGCCTTGCACCACGTGGAAGCCATTTAAGAAAAAAAAGTGGAATCTCAGATGGCAAGAGCACGAGGTATATTCGATCCTGCCTCACACAGCATTCACACTATGAGTTGATGACATTTTAATGGAAGCATTGCCAAGAATCTTAAACCCAAGTCTTATACCACAAAGGAACATGCACACACGTCCTTGTACTGAGGAAGCCACCAATAATTCATTCATTGTCATTCACTCCTCCATTTATTCAGCAGTGTGCACCTCTCCAGCAGACATGGTGGTAGGAGCTGGGGACTTAGGAGGGAACCACCTGCAACAAATATCCAAACTAGGCTTTGGGCACTGAGGCCAGAGGCTGGTTTTGTGCTTTCCTTTCTCTGTGAGACAATATAGGAAATAAGGGATTTGGAGCACTGTGCCCCTGCCTATGGTGAGAGCTCAGGTCCCACCTCCCAATCTGCTGTAAATTGATACTTTTATAAAATACAATAGAAAAAAAATTTACTAGAAAAAAGAAATTTTAAAACCAGAAAGATATATAAAACACAAGTCTGAATTTTATATTAGGTTCAACAGACAATATCAATAGCTATTGCGGGGGGGGGGGACTCTAAATGCTTACTTTCAAATTCTGTCCAATCCTAGCAGACTGGGAACAAACAGCCTGCGGACACGCTATGCCTCAGGCTCCGCGTTGGGCAGGACTTATTCAGAGCAGGACTCCAGGGTTAGGTGCCTGGGCTTCAACTGCAGTCCTGGCGCTGGCTGGCTATGTGACCAAGGGCAAGTTATTTCATTTCATTGTTCCTCAGTTTCCTTCCCAGTTCCCTGTTGCCCATACATGTAAAACACTTGCAAATAAAAACCTACAGAGCACTCAGAATGGTGTCTGGCTCAGAGCAAATGCTACTGAAGCGTTAGTGGATCGTATACCGTCTGCCACTGTGAATACAGCCATTGCTGTCACTACCACTGTCACTCCCAGGACGGCGCTGCTGCGCCATCTGGACCAACACTGGAACAGCTGTTTCACCTACGAAATGGGCTTCGCAGCTCTTCCCCTCTGCTTCCTTCCCCCCCATCTATGAACTCAGTGCCCAGAGAGTGAAATTACCCATGGGAAGGCACGTTATCGCCCAGGAAACTGCCCCTTATAACCGGCTCTCTACAGCCCAGATGTCGCTTCCGAGGCAAGGGCAGTGTCCTGGGTTCTCTGCGCCCGCACATCATCGCCCCAGTGACAACAGGTGGGGACAGCTGTCCTTCACTTGCCCCGGAGACCCAGTGGGCCGAGGCTGTGACACTGGGTGTGGCCCGGGGGAGGCGCCACCCCTCTGCTAAGGGTATTTTCATACTTCACGTAACCAAACACTTCACCCACCTGCACCTTTTACACAGACACAGATTCCCCCAGCTCCCTCCTTAACAGCTGTTTAGAAACTCAGCTTAAATTTTTCAGAATTACTTCTCACTTTTTCTTCAGATTAGTCACCTATAATTGGCTGGGGATAACAATATCGAGGTGACTTGGAAACACAGTTAAGAAATATTGAGACCTGAGCTTAGGAAACTGTTAGAAAACAATTCCCAGTCATTATAAAGCAAGAGAAAAGCTCGAGATTGAAAAGGAAAATAACCATCGCTTCATCTGCTTTCTAAATCTCCTAAGTCTGACAGTATTAAACACATTTATTGACATGGCCTAACTATTTTGCATTCTCATAAAATAAAAATTTTATGAAAAAAGAGAGGGCAACAAAATAACCAAATAAGAAAGCAGGGGTTTTGGCTCTAAAAACGAATTTGGAGATTAATGCCTTGAATGGCTTTAGTTTCCATTTGCTCGCTTACCTAGAATTTCACATCCTGAGAAAGAGAGCAGGTCGGAGGGAACAGGTCGGAGAGAGTGGGCCAAGCTGGAGTTCTTACCTAGTTCGGAATGGAGTAACCGATTTAAAGAACATGAAGAAAACACACAAAGAAACCAGAGGCATAGTGACACGTGCACATGGCCGGTGACAAGGTTGGGAGTGACTGAAAGCACACTGGTAGGTGCCCGGGGATGTAATTTAGTGTATGGCCCTGACATGGCCCAGACTGCAATCAACCAGCTATGAGTTTGAACGTGTCTCTGCTACCCAAGCTGAAGATCATCATGTTTAACAAACCAGCATCTTCCGTTCACAGGTTCGCTTCATAGTACACTGCTGTCTTTTAAATTCAGCGCACTAAGCATACTGAAGTTGCTCTGTCCAACATACAGCAGGACACTTCGGGGACACAAATCCTGGAAGGTTTCTGATAGAGAGGAAGTTAATGACATGGCCAGACAAAGGAAAAATGTAAACAGGTAATTCTCATCTCCCCCGACTCTGCAGTTATCAATGACTCTCAAAACTTGGTTTCCGTTTCTATGCGCCCCACTGCCCATCTGTCCATGCTTGCATGCATTTACTCAATAAATTATTTATTGAGTCCCTTCCTGCTGCCAGGGACTGTATTAGGCTTTTAGTGGGAAAAGACAAAAAATAAACAAGCTAGAAAATAAATTAGCTAATAATTACAGTTATTGTGTTAAGAAGGAAAAAAATCAAAGTGTTAAAATAGAGACTAACTGGGGAGATCCATTTGGGATCCTGACAAAAAAGAGAATTCCACTCAGATGAATCAAATAAAGAAATATTAAAGAGGAGACACTCAGCACTGAAAGAAGCAACAAGAGCTGTCGGGGTACCAGGAACAGAAAGAGCTGAAAGCTGTAATCAAGGGGCAAGAAGACATGGTGTTGCCAGCGAGTGACCAGTGAGAGCTGGAGCTACGGAGGAAGTGTCACCACGCAGGACTGCTACTGAGGGATGAACCCAAGGCCAGAACCATGACCCAAACTGGGCAGGGAGGAGGTAAGAAACAACCCAGCCCCTTTCTCCACTCACCCTCCTATCTGCTGCTAGTCTTCCTACTGGTGGGCCTGATGTGAGTCACCTGGCAAGGCAGCTTTGGGGAGCTCGTCCATAGAGTTTGACTTCAGTGCTGAGAGTGGACTGGGGAGATGCGAGGGGTGGGGAGATGCGAGGGGAGGGGAGAACGGCAAGTTACCAGGGAAAGGGACCTACTTAAGTAGGATAGTCAGGAAAAGCTTCTCCATGGAGGTGACATTTGAACTGAGACTCAGAGAGGAGAAGGTCCCAGCCATGGACAGAGCCAGGAAGAGTCATCTAGCAGACAGCCCAGTGAGCGCATGGCCCTGCCACTCCCCTTCTCTGCACCCATGCTCAGTACACACCCCTCACCAGCGGCATGTCTCACACAGACCCAGACAATACAAATGGACCCGTTCCCTGGGATGACGCCGTAATTCAACTTCTGGGAGAAGCAAAGGTCTCTATTTTCTTAACACCAGAGAAGAGTTTGCTCCTAAAAAGGAATGCTCCTACCCAGGACTTCTCAATGAAAGGTTCAGAGCTGCTATTAATTCTAATGTACACAAGGAAACATCAAGAAAGACAAATACGTAGGCAGGTGCGGGCAGGACGCAGAAGCAACTATAACTCTCTCCCGTGTATGCAGCTTTCCTCTGAAGATCAAGCCATCCACATCAGGAGCTGTCCACATAGCATGCGACTTACATAAAAAAATAAACATTTTTTTCTCTTAAATGAAGAAGCACCATGAAGATTCAATTACAGTGTAATAGCAGTTAATGTCGACCCATAATTTAAATTCATACTATTTTCTTTTAGTTTTATATTTGTCTTCGTGTCACTGGATAAAATGGATATAAAATAAATACCTCAAGCCTATTAATCCACATATCTTCTGAAAAATTATTTTATTTCTGTTGCCCAGAAACCATTTCTTTATATAGTTAAAGGAAAATGTTCAATATTAGCAAGATCATCACTTGAATTAAATGATCTGACTTTTAAAAAACAGTTTGCCGGTAGGTTCAAATTCACTGTGAGCTAGCCAAGTTCTCAACAGTGAGTGTGCCCTTCAAATGGGTACAGAGAGTTTCCTGCAGGCAGCTGAGGTTAGGCAGGGTGACTTCCTCCCTGCAAGTAAGTCCTTTCAAGGGCAAATTCCAGGCAAATAATGAGGCACTGCCTGCATGTTAATGAGACTGGCTGTGGACCACATTCAAAGCTAGCCACTTTTTCTTAAAGATCTTAAGGAATTTCTATTATCTCTACACTAGTCCTAAATTTCCCTAGTGCCCATTTAATTTATTTCCTCTTGTTTTGTCCCTGATGAATATAAAAACAGATGGCAATTCTTCTTCTTATTTTGTTGATTGGTGACTTTTGCCAAGGCCATGAAAACTGTTGACCAGGAAGTTCAAAGTATATCATTACCTGCAGAAGCGGCCGCTGCACCCCCAGCACCTTCATGGTGTCCGCATTAGCCAGGATCTTCAAGGGGTCAGATGTTTTCGTGACTCCTTCAATCTCCTTGTTGATTTCTGCCAAGACTTGATTGAGAAAGATGTTTTTGATGTACACAGTGAGAAACTCTCGAAGAGGACACTGCTTGGCTGGGCCAAGTCCCAAGGCATGCTCAATTTCCTGAATAAATCTGGAAGACAAACAGTAAAACTGTTGTTAAATGTGTCAGAAAGATAGTTATAGAAATACGACAAAACCCACATGGGTATCTTTTGACTGGCTATTTCCATGGAGAGATGCAGGGAAATTCCCAGAATTCATAACAAGAGCAGTTCACCACTCTGTAATATTCATCTAATAATCTCTCTCTCTCTCTATCGATCTAATAGTCATCTTTCTCTATATAAATATCTATCTTTTAAAACTACAAGTTATTTCACTAATAGAAATAGGATGAAACAGAAAATGACTTCTAACCTAGGGTGGAAAAAAAAGAGACACACAAAGTATTTTTATTAATTCAAGAAGTAACTAAGATAAGCAGCACAGGCAAGCATGATAAAAAAACAATTACAATGCAAATTTAAAAGCACACTCACAAACACTACACATTTCTCATTGAGATCTTTATATGTGTAGACAGAAATGTTGAGAGAGAGAGAGAGGAAGAAAGAGAGAGATAAAATAAAGGACAGACTTTTAATCTGGGATGATACATGAGTTGGGAGGTTACAAAAGAGAACAGGATGGGAGGTGGGGGCAAAGAAGGACTTCAACCTTATTTGTAAAGACCTATTTCCTTTATTAAAAACACTTAAAGCATATATAGAGGATTGTTAATAACTGTCAAAGCTCAGTGACGAGTATGCAGGTGTCTGTCATATTGTTCTTTGTACTTTTCCTGCTTAGCATGTTTCTGACAATACACATTTAAGTTACTACAGTTTAGTTTATAGTGCCTGTCCTCCAAAACCAAGATTCAAATTCCAGTTACCACAGTATATTAACTGTAATGGCAGAAAGTATAAACTTTGGGGCTAGCTCTTCAGTTCAGATACCTCTACGTGAATAATTGATGTTCATCACAATCAATGATCAATCATCTCAAAGTGTGTCGGAGCCTGACCACTGCACATCAGTTATTCAGTCCATGCACAGAGAGCAACGCGTGACCTGTGCTCCTGTCTCCCAGTGATACACCCAGGTGATATTTTACAAAGGACAATGAAAAGATGTAATTGGCACACAAGAAAAATAGATAAAAGTATAGGAAAAAACTAAAAGTGGTAACAGTGGGAACGAAATTTGAATTCAATGTAAATGGCTTTACAGAAGAAACAGCTGACGGTGGATGTTGACATTGCCCCCGCCTGAGAGGCAAAGGCAGCCTGAGCCAAGGGGGAACTTGACCTAAATCAATGAGGACTCTAAGTGGTTATGACAAAAGGGATGAAGGTGGCCCAGAGGAAGTATGCCAGCCAAGAATTTCACATTATAAGAACTCTTAGAGATATTTCATGACATTGAAAATCAAATAACAAAATACTGGCAGTTGATCCAAATTTTGAAGGAGGAATGACATTTCACCAAGGCACAGAAAAGATGCTCCCTGTGTGTCGTAAGGGATACAGTGCAACAAAGGTGCAAGCACTGTTCCAACTACTCTCGATGAAACTTTAACAAACAAACAAAGCACTTCATTTCTCAATGTTTCCAATGCCACAGTGGACTAAATACATCATTAGTTTTCTTATTTTTTCATATCTGTATACATTTATAACAGTAAGAGTTTTTAACATATTGACAACATTTTTAAAGTCATGGACAATTGTGATTTTCCCCATTGGTTAAGACTGCTTTGCACGGTAATTTTTACAATTCCACAGTGCTATGCAAAGCAAGGGCTGCTCTGTACTTTAAAATTCTCAAAAAAAGTAGAAAAAAAATGAAATGAGATCAAATGAAACAGACAATAGAATGAATGACTAACTGGGAAGATATATTTACAACTCTATCACAGGTGACAGCTAGGAAAAAACAAATTTGTAGAAAAATGACTGAAGGACACAACAAGGCAGTTTATAGTGAAAGAAATACAGTGGCGATTAAACTTAAGAAAACGTTAACTTTGTCTCAGTGGAAGGAATGGAAACTAAATTGTACTTTCCATTCTTACATGCCATTTTTACATCCATGCACTGGCCAAAGAGGCCTTCTCCTATATTGTTGATGGGAGTGAAAACAGTACAAACCTGTGAAAGGCAAGTTGGCACAATCATTCAAAACTACAAATGCACTTCTCTTTGACCCAGAACTCCTGCTTCTGGGAAATTTTTCTGACAGCCATATCTGAACATGATTATATAGGTCAGTGTAGCATTATTTTAATGGCAAAAGACTGGAAACAACTCAAAATATCCATCAATCAGGGATTCATCAAATAAATTGGTGCATCTACACACATGCAGCAACCTCAACCCTCTAAGCTCGGAAGCTTGGGGGCACTGACATGAAAAGGCCTCTAGGAGATATTAAACTAGGAAAAGAACAAGATGTAAATCAGTTTGTATTTAGTAGTATTTACTACACTGACTTCTGTGTAAGAACTATATATCCTCATTTGTTTCTTTTATTATAAAGACACCCTGGTAAGTCTCATAAAAAACACCACTAAAATTAGGTGCCTGTAGGAAGCAGGGATAGGGAGGGGTCTGGAAGAGGGGTGGGATTCAGACTTTTCAATTATAACTTTTTTAATCATTTGATTAAAAAAGAGAATGTATTAGCTACTCAAAATTAAGTTAGAAAATATAAAAACCACCTACACACGTCAGAGACTGTATTTCATCAACTGCTTTCTAATTAGACCACATTTAGAGTNAAGTTAGAAAATATAAAAATCACCTACACACGTCAGAGGCTGTATTTCATCAACTGCTTTCTAATTAGACCACATTTAGAGTCTGGTGTATAAATGTTCCTTAAGTTTAGCTGTTTAGCCTCAAAAGAGTTACCTTCACTTAATTAATAAATAAACTGTTTAATCTTGCATATCACCAGTTAGACACTCCATCAGCCTCTGGGTGTGTACGTGTGGTGGGGAAGGAGCAGGAGCGAGTACATGCAGAGGGAAATAAAAGCATGCCCCAAAACAGAATATAGTGAATCTTTAAGAGGCATGAGTGGAAGAAGGTGGGGAAAATGAAGAAATGAAAGTGGGCAACTATCCATGGCCATCATTTTAAGATCTTCAAATTCCACATCCTGCTGTGCAGACCCCTTCTGATCTCATCTGACACTCACAGAAATCCCCCACCTAGTGCATCTTGGCCTCCTTAGTTAGCCTTTGAAAGACAACCACCGTTATTAATTTGCTGAGTAAATACAGCAAATGTCTTATTTTGTTATTTTTTAATATTATGGGACTCAGTCATCAGAATCCCCGTTTATTCTTCTCAATGGGACCTAGATTTCTGAGAAGTACTTCTTACGTTTTCAGAATCTCCAACATTTATTAGAACAAGTTTTAGTAGTCCACCTGCTCCGAAGCAGAGACAAAAGGCTCTAAATTACCCCATTTTTGTTTTTTCTGGTCCCTTGTTTGCCTGGATGTTCCTAAAACATAAAACCGCTCTGAGCAGCACTGATGGAGGAGCTCCCATCACTCGCAGCTGAGTGATTTCCTTCAAATACAAATCACTTATTCCCTAAAACACACACATCAGTCTAAAATGACACATCCAGGCTGATGCTGTCATCTCTAACTCGAGGGGACCCATTCAACATGTTTGCAAATCTGCTTTCAGAGCTGCAAGGGCCCTGGCTGCGCAGAAAGTGTGAACATTCGAGAGAGGGTGACAGAAAAATCAGAGCTGTCTTATCAGTCCCGCTTTTTTCCTCTAGTCAAAAATGGGTAGCAGTTACATTAAATAGCAAACTGCTCTTTCTTGGCAGGAAGGACACAGAATAATCACCTTCCTGGGTATTCAAGAGGTAAACCAGACTCCTGGTCACTGAGAGGTGGAGTAATTTAGGGGGCGGAGTGGCACGAGCAGGACTGAGAGGAGCTAGTCCTGAGTCTGCATCCTGAACGAACCGTCCTGGGCGGGTCATTCGGCCTCTCTTAATCTCAGCTTTGCATTCTGAAAAATGGATATGATAACATGCAGGACTGTTTCGGTGATTAAATGAAGAAATAAAGTTAAGCACTCGGCACAGAGGTTGACCCTTAGTAACAGCTAAGGAAATGGCGGCTAATGCTATTTGTATAATTTACCAAAGCCCCACGTGGCCGGAGGCTGAGTATAAATTGCTCAGGCTGTACCCTCAGTGCGTAGCACTGGCTAGCACACAGTATGCTCTCAGGGTGTATTTGGGGAAGAAAGTGTTGAATAAAATAATTAACAGATCCTTTAACTTCAACCCACAGTTCCTGAAACTAGGGCATGTCCTTGCTGACAAAGTCCTTTTCCTAAGAATTTGGACTAGAGGTCCAAAGAAAAAAATTTATTAGAAAAAAGTGAAAGAAAAATCATCCCACCCCCCACCGCCCAGGGCTGACAGCTGCCTCTCACGGAAGGAGCAGGCTGTGGTCCCCCCGCCTTCTACTGGGCTCTTCCCTGCACAACTCAGCGCCTCACACTACTTCATATCCTGCCTTCGCAGGCCACCAGAGTCACTCCGTCCCTCCTGCTGACGACACAGCACGGGCAAACCCGGTGTGGATTAGGAAGCGTACGCGCTCCTGGCTGTTAGAGATAACCCACAGTGGGCACCTTCATTTTGCTTCTGGGAGCTCTTTCCACAAGGCAGTGGGAGGGGTGCCTCAGGGTTTTTCATGGGCCAGTCTGTACCTTATTTCTCCCACATCTCCTCAAATCTCCCAAATGCCTGAGCAGGTTCTTTAAAGTGCTCCTGAATGGGAGGCAGGAGAGCATGAAGGGTGGAGAGGTGGCCCATCATCAAGCCCCGGCTTCCCAGCAGTGCCCGCAGTCGGCTCCATGGAAGTGAGAGCACTGAATTCTGGAGTCAACGAACCTCACCAGGAAGGAAGACACATCACTTCCAAGTGAAGGTGAGCACGGACGGAGCCCCGTCCAAAGGGGACTATGCCATCCTGTGGAGCTCCCACGCCCGGGCCTGGCACGCAGAGCCAGGCACAGCTGTGCGGAAGGGCGCAGGAGGGGTGCG